TGGTCGGTGTCCGGTTCTGCTCGACCACCGGTCCAGTATATAATATCCCATATCAAGTACAAATTTTAAAAGTTCTATAATTACTTTTACTAATTATAATATTTTTATTTCTTACTTTTTTTATAGTTATTAGTAAGTGTTATAACTTTATTATAAATTTATTATTATTTATCAGATTTAATATTTTTTTACTTTATATTGTTCTTTCATATGTTTCTTATATGTGTGTGTGTGTGTGTGTGTGTGACTTTTAGGTTTGTTAAAAAATACATAAAATTAAGTACAGCACTATTTGGGTCATATGTCTTATTTATATAAATTAATTTATATCTTTTTATTATATTATATATAATTATAATCTTCCCATTTATACTCAAATATATAAATTTTTTATTTCGTACATTTTTTTTAAAACCATTTTATTATAATAACACATATTAATAGATAGATGAGTAATGATAATATACGAATATAAATTTTTTGATAAATTTTTTTTTTCAACATGTAGGCATATCATGATTCTCGAGATATTTTTAATTAATTTGTAGATAATTATATGATCAAAATTACATGTTGCTAAAGTGGTATCTCATTAAACGTGAAAAACATAGATTAAGTTTTAGTATTCTACAATTTCATAAATCTTATGTAGCAAAGAAGTTGTATAGATTAGAAGTTTAGGTTGCAAAACAATCATTCAACAATTAATCTCGCATTTTATAGGTTATTTAACAATTAATCTCGCATTTTATAGGTTATTTTGAAAATAATGTTTCTATACTTTGTGTTCGTTATGAGAAAAAACAATATCGATTTCTTTAATGAACTTTCATATATTAGAATTATGAAATGTGATTACAATTTTGGCATTAAAATTATATTAAAATAATGACATTTTTCAAAACAACAATTTTATATCCTATCAAATATTTTTAGAAATATGTGGAAGAAAACAAATTTATTTTAGGAGTGTGGAATGATTGGTTCATGTATTTGCATTTAATTAATTAATTAGTTATTAATTAATACTATGAGATATGATGAACATTAGTGTATTACTAATTTGCCATTAAAAACATGTCAAAATAATGATTTTTTAGGTAATTCATTTTTTAATTAAAAATATAAAATATGATTTGTATTAGTGTATTTCTAATTTGTCATTAAATTTATGTCAAAGTAAGAGTTTTTTAGATAGTTAATATTTTTACAAAAACACTAATCCTTTTAGAATAGTATAAAAAAAAAAGCATACAAACAATCATATAATCAAAATGATATGAACTATACATATAATACGTTTAAATTTAATATTTCACAAGGTCAGGATGCCATTTTTCCTCGTTTTCATCAGAAGTTTCAAATGTTACCTTCTCAAGATCTTGTCGCCATTGACGGGCCCTCATTATTCGAGAACTTATAATTCTCCCTTCTCCATCCCGAGGAACATGCACATTAACTTTGTGGCTTCGTTGACCTTCCATGCGTACGCAGGGCTAACACGAAGATACTGTTGTATAATTCCAGGACGACAAATGCAAAATAGATATTGTCTATAAAAGATGACACGGAATGCGAAGATAGAATAAAGTTCCCAATATCTAGAGACATTTTGGATCCACTTACTGCTCTGAGTAGTTGACCTACTTTAATCAAACTTGGTGAAGTCCCATTGTGATAAAGATCAGGCGGCAAGGTTATATCCGATTTCCACTTTTTGGAATTCGTCGTGAAAGAAAATGAGTCAGGAGCACGACCTTCATACTTAAACATGACTATGCTTGGCACATCAATAGCAGCCCATGTCAACCGTTTCTCAACCGTGATTTCCAATTCCTTGACAGAATGACTGGACAGCTCATATTTTACGCGAAAAGAAGCAGAACGATTCTCTAGAGAGCCGCACACCAAACAGACTTAAAGACTTGAGAAGAGGAAAATAGGTGTTGATCATGTCGTGATACCAAATGAAACTGGGAGATGGGACGTCAATTTTGAGACTCGGCCCATAGTGATAGGATACTGAACCATGCAAGGTAAATCTCTTGAGGAACCGAGCCCTTTTATCGACTCGAATGGCTTTCAACCAATTTAATCAATGGGAAGCTACATATTATCTACTCAAGAATGTCCTCCGTAATAAAAACGTTCGAAAGGCAGAGTTCTTTGAGATTCACGGACAATATTTCCTTGTCGAAACAACTGACTCGGCTCAAGTTGCAGCCTGTGAGGTACAATGATTGGAGGGATTCGGATTCGAAAAGGACAGAGGGCAGATCAAAGAATGCATTTGCACGTGTTTCGAAAGAAAGACTAAAGGCCTCTACAGCCCAATCCCGAGCGAGCACCGGAATCCACTTGTAAAGAAACAAAACCGACTCGGAATCGGGCTTTGTCATGGAGAGAAAGAATTCTTGTGGACAAATCTTGTGATCATGGTATAGTTGCAAGCACCTCTCGAGGAGGTTGATAAACTCCTGTTTACTTCCTTTAAACTCGATCTCTCGCATGTCGAAATTGGGGCGTGTGGAGCCAAGATAGCGCCATGATTTGGAGAGTAGGCAAGTTCTAACGGCTTCTTCTTCGGGAAGGTAACGGAGTATATGGTGCAATATCGGCTGTGGCAATTGCAATATAATGTCGTCCATTAACCTTGGAGCCTTCACAGTTTCTGATTTGTTTTCTTCTTTCTGCTTATGTATGGTATAGAACTTTTTTTTTTTT